TTCCTGCTGCTTTAGACTATCAGCACTTTAAAACAAAAATACACTTTATGTCAAATATCAGTAGGTTTATTTCTTATGACTAGTGTACTCTTAAAGCGATTTAACCAGAATATAATTATCCCATTTATTGTTTCCAATCAGAAAAGCTTATCAAGCTGAAAACATTTCCTCAAGACTTTCTAAAGGGTTTTCTTTCCCTTTGGTTTGTCAGCAGTACTTGATTTCCTTTGCTGTAGCAATAATTTAACCAAAATATGGCTTACGTATTTCCATGTAAGAAAAACACAGTTTGTTATTGTCGTTTTTAATTAAATACATGTCATTAAAATATTCTCATTAGTTTCAAAGTTTATTAAATTTCTCAGCCTCTTGCAAAGGAAGTATCTGGTTTTGTTTTGTACATTCTTTTGTTTGCAAAACTTTGAATGAAACATCAGAGGCTTTTAAAAGTGAATGCACTGTGTATATACTTCAAAAGACAACTGCTTCACAGGATCACAAGCACTTCAGACATCTCCTTAGGCTAAATAAAAAACTAAAAGGAGAAAGTGCCCTGTATAATATAAAACTCCTATGGTACACACAGCACAAACAAATCCTAACTTGAACTGTTTCTAAAAAAATGCAGGTTCCATCAAGGAACAAGAATACTGCATAATACAACTGTTTGACAAGATTAGCAATAAGGTTTTATTTAAATGAAAAAAACATGACAAGGTATACCTAAGAGATTAAATGTTGAAAATTTAATTGTGATCAATTTTTAAACAAATTACTAAAAGAAATAATAAGCTATGCTCAAAGAAATATTTCTTTAACAAGAAAGCACTTTAAGATGTTCCCACACATCTACATTTTTAAAATTTCTTATCCTTTACTTAATCCTTATTTCTTATCCTTTTTCTAATTTCTTATCCTTTCTCTTTTGAAATCAAAGTAGTACTGCAGCAAAGTAGCACTAAGCCATGTCCATCCAAACGGCCAGATAACGATCCATACTAATTCCTCATGTTTCAACTATTTATTGAAAATACACATCATAAAAAAATTAGAAAACGTGCACGTCCTTTTCAAGCTGAGGGATATCATCTTAATCGTAACCAGGGGTCCACAGCACAGGCAAGTTAAGTCCAACATCTGACCTAGAAGATTATGTAGAAAAAGCCTGCGGCCCCACGTGTTAGAATGAAGAAACCATACAGAGATATTCGCCAAGGACTGGCTGCACAGGCCAGGCACAATCCAGATGAACAAGCCAAGTAGTTGCTACACTGCTGGAGAAAATTCATTTTAAAAGTAGATGAAAGAGGCCTGTCAGAAGGGTAAAAAAGGAGATAGACAAGAAAGGAGGAGTGCCAGAGAGCAATGCAATACACTACAATACAAATACACTAACAAGAGAAACGGAGAATATGGGAATTGGAAAGCATTCCCCATCTCTCTCATACGCATTCATGCTTGAAAGGGGCGAGGAGCAGGGGACAGAAAACGAAGTTCAGGTGCTGAGGAGCACCCACGCTTGTCCTACTCAAAAGTTTCTGCCCTAACTTGTTCCTGAACTACCTATTTGAAGGATTAGTTGGAGCCACTACTGACGATGACCTGCTAAATGTTTAGTATTTTACAATTCAAAGCATGATACAGAAAAATCTAACAAACCCTGATGACATTTCAAAGTACTGTTTTTCTACTTTTTCTTTTTTTTTTGGTGATTACACAGTATTAGAAACAGTAACATAAGGAGCCAAATTAAGATAAACACCATTCTGCAAATTTCTGTATTCAAGTTTTTACAATCAGTTCTATTCTATAGTCACCCAAGTCCTTTTTGTGCTGACACTAATGCTTATGTTAAAAATTATCATGCATGTGATATGCACAAAAACAACAAAAAGGACTACCAATATTTGTAACTTAATCCAGGATTTGAAACAAGCCTTGTAATCTGTTTCCAATGGCACAATTACTGCACTGAAGAGCTTTATAATAAATGAAATAATCCTCTAGCAGAAAATGACTGTGGTATTCTAAATATTGTTTATAAAGCTTTTCAGATTTTTGGACAGTTAATCATTCTGAGTTGAAGTTCAATCATAATAGGATATCAGCTAGATGCATTTTTTTCCTCCTGAAAGAGGTAAACTGAAAACCAATTTTAAAATCCCAATGGTCTAACAATATTAACCAAAAATAAATTTAAAAAAAATTTCTATGGGTGATGAACTACCACAGTCCAGCTTCCTACGGATTTGCATCTTTTGTCCAAGAAACTGCAGCTCATTCATCCTAATTTCTTCATGTTCATGATGATACCCTTATTAGAAAAGGAGAAACCCCAACAGTGCATCTAGCCCAGGGCACCACACATGATAACTGGCTAAGCTGGCTGCTGCCAAACAGAATGTGTCAGAATTAAGTTTTCCCTGGTTTCTCTTTTGTTTAAGAGGGAAATAAAACTAGTTTATCTCCTCTGAAAATCAATTTTATCATCTATGAGACTTTATTCCTCTTTTGAATTTGAAACTATCCCACGGAGAACAAAGCTTTGCTCCTTCAGAACTTCAGGCTAAAAAGCTGATTATTTCAAATTCAAGAATGTGATGTTCAGGTTTGCTTTCCTTGACCAAGAAAGATTATCTAATCTAACAAAGCCATGGAAAATACTGCAAAATATTCTTACCTATTTTCTTATTTCGTTCTTCTCCACGACTGTGCGCAATAATCGGAGAATATATGAAGGGGCTTTTGGTTGACACATTCTGACCAAGTAGACTTTTCATTTTGTGAGGTCGAAGACTGGTCGGGAGGTTCAAGAGCTTCACAGATCTGTTGAGTAAAAATAATTTTATAGATGGTTGTGTTAAAAATGAACTGATAAATACTAAATGACACTCTGAGTAGGTACCGATTAAAATACCTGAAATGGAAAATGTGAAGTAAACACCTACAGTACAAAAGAAAGTAATACCAACCCAAGGAAACTAAAGGCAAAGTTTCAGAAAGCTCTCAGAAAACAAACACCAAAGGATAAACATCTTCCGAAGGAACCAACAAAACCAAAACTAGCCAGATCAGTGATCTGAAACCCAGCTATTAATTTCCAAGTGCAGACTGAACAACAGATACACCACAAGTCCAGTGCAGAAAGCAACCAAATATTTAACTTAAACCCAAACTAGAAGCCAGACAAAATTTCATTGGACAATGTAATACAAATAAAGAACTTCTCCAAGGTGAATAAAACAGATTTTAAAACAGTTAAAATGCACAGAGTTGCTTCTGGAGGGAAGGAAACATATTTGAGTGGGTTTGCTGAACAACTAGAAAGCAATTACAAATAGACAGAAAATGAATTATTTATTAGACTATATCTCTATCAGACCCAAATCCCTACAATACCATGCGGGGAAATCACTGGCCTTCCAATGCTGATGGGAAATTAAAGACTAAATATTGGGCATAAGAACAAGCAATAAATTAGTGGATATTCAGTCAAAGTAGCAGCATTATAAAAGCCTGTAAGAATCCCAGTTACTTTGAGTCAGAAAGGAGCGAGGAAGGGAAAACAAAAGGTGAATAAAGGCACCATTCAGTATCATAGCTATTTTGTACAGTCTATTAAGCTTGAACTATTTGTGCTTTTAATTAAGAATGTCATCAAGAGACAAGAATCTCCCCTCTGCAATCATTCCTGAATTAAATCTCCAACTGTTTTAAAATTTGGTTTTCAAGTAAAAAAAAATTCCTACAGAATAAAACTACAATTTTTGCTAACCGGCAGAGGCATCCCACCACACTGAGGTAGACAAGCAAGAATGAAATAAAATGCTTACAAATCTTTCCAGCAGTAAACTTTTAAAAGATACTTAAAGATATAGTAGGCACATACCAAGACGAACAACAACAGAGTCTAACTAAAACCCTAGGAGACTTCTAAAACCAATTAAGAGGCCAAGTGCAAGAATGCTAGAAAACCCCAACTTGTTCAAATATTAACTCCCTTCTTCCCCCCTTTCCCACATCCACCTCCCACAGTAAAACTTCTCTCACTGGAATTCTTTGATAATGCCATAATAAGCCAAAGAGGTTATAAATGTTACAGTACATGATAAAGTTGTCATGTTTTATAAAGTTCTTCAAATACTATGACAAGAGCACTGGAGAGCTAAGAAGGAAACCTGCCTTCCTCAGCTGTAAGGGTCATAGAAACAACTTAAAATCAAGTGTCTTCACTTCAAAAAGCAGATAAATCCTATTTTACATGTCAAAACAGTTTTGCATCATTTACAGGAAATAACTGAAGTAATTCACTTGCCAAAGTTACAGAATTATACTTAATGTCAAAACAATAAACTATTACTGAGAACATGAAAATAATACAAGTGTGGGAAAATAATGGAAGATTGGCAAGGAGGATTGTAAACATGCTCAAGTGACTTGCAGCTGGGGTGTTGAAAAACACATGTATCATACTAACTGTTGCTTGGCCTTGTGTGTTGGTCAAGTAGAACATCTGTGTTTAGATAACATAGGGCTGTGATAGACTTAGAGGCACCCTGTCGAACATGGTTGAGATTCCTGCCCCGCTGTGGGAAAGATCAAAGCACAGTGGTAAACTCCATCTGCGTGAACCCGTGATAAACAGGCGAAAACAGCAGGTTCGGTGATTCTCTAGCATGGACCGAGCTCCACGGTGCCTGCGTTCCCGCTTGCGTGCCTCTGCCCGGGTGCTGCTTCGGGGACCCCCGAACAAAAATAGTATCAGTCATAAAAATAATAATAAATTCTGTCTTTGCGTTTCACCCGTGGTTTTGTGGTTGTTCCTACGTCCTGCCTGTGCCGGCTCACTCAGTGAGTCCTCAGCACATTAAAGAACAGTTGTATCAATAGCCCACTAATAAAAAGTACATACATACAAGAAAATATTGTGTTTTAAAAATTACCCCAATCATTCAAGATAGTGTGCTACTACTGAAAAATAATGAAGCTGTAAGAGTAACGCTACACAGACATGTTAACTCTGCGATATAAAACACCCGATAAGAAGTTACTAGATAACACTAAAAGTATTTTGGAACAAGAAATAAATCATCAAATCCATATATTATCTGTTGGTGACGCTTAGTGTCAGCATCGCAATCAAATGCAAAATAACAGCCAACAAACCTGAGGAACAGAGAGAAACTATGACAGATTCCTCAATATTTCATATTTTGAAACCTCTTCTGATAGAATTTTGTTACAAATTAGAATGCAACTTAAAGCAAAACATGTACTGAGGAAACAAACATTAAATTTGATAAAGTGTTAATAAAAAGGAATTTTATTTTATACATAGAAACAAGTGCTTTGGCTCATCCATCATTATTGTATAAATACTGGTGGATAACCTTTTTTATCTCAATGCATGACAGCGGAAGGAATGTCCTTCAGCCACCTATTAGACAGATATACCCTCCCAGGTCATACATAGCACATGGCAAATTTTTTAATTCCTTTGTGTGAAAAGCTTCAGTAAGGTACCTTTTCTAGCCCCTGGCCCAGCCAGACTGAATTTAAATGAGCAACAATTAGGAATTACAAAATAATTTCACTAGCTACCCAGAAGATCACAATCTTGTATTTGGAAGAAGTCATGTTAATTAAAACCAACCTTGCTTAGAGGGGAAATGAAAATAATAAAAAAAACACAACTCTACTAAGTAAACAGAGGGAAGGAAAAAATGGCACCAAGTAAATTTAAAGTAGTAAGAAAAGTAGATAAGGACAACTAAAAAACTTCAGTGGTGCAAAGGAAGGAAATTCTTTCTCCTTTTAAGTACATCAGTAAGAAAATGAGTTTTAACAGAGGTAAGTTATGAAAATGGTAATAGTGCATCTATTAGAACAGAAAGAGAATAAAATCTTCTATTTTTTATTTGAGAAAACACTGGATGATGATTTCCTAGTACGCTATGATGGAATACTTTCCAATCCAACATGCTTTTTATTTCTGAAGCTTCATCAAAAGAAATAAAAATTCATCAAGGAGCTTTCCAGATGGCATGACAGTATCTGAAATGTCAAAAAAAAAAATCCCAAAATTCCAAAGGCTAAAAGAAAATACATAAAAATATAATATTTAAAGCACATCAGTAACAGACCAAGCATCTAGTTAAAAGACAGGATACACACAAAAAAAAGAAAGACTATAAAGAATACCATACTTCCATAAAGGACAGCTAGACATTAAATACTAGTTAACATGAGTAATGGAATATAAAGATTTTGCCAAGCCAAATCTCTTTCTATTGCTTTATAGGTATGAGGGAGAAAAAGGTAACAGTGCAACCACGTTCCAGTTTCACTGTGGCATTTCAATGTTTGACAGTATTTTGATTAAGAAATCTGCATCCAAACTAAGCACCCCACATTAAATGGATTAAAAACCAGTAGACCATGAAATGCTAACAGTAAATAGAAGTCATCATCATCAGTAAATGTGTATGTTTCTAGAGGGCTCTAGCATGGATTGAATCATAAGCTTAGGTTATTCAACATTGATCAAAATCACATTTCCACACATATATAATTTATGTCTCAAAAATTAACATGATTTAGCTCAGAGAGCTCTGCAGTCCTGCAGCACAGCTATTTTCCAGCTAGCTGGGCAGCTCTACAGTGCACGAGGTCTGCTGCGTAGATGCAACTGGAGGCTTTATATTTAGACACATCAAATATTTTGTCGGATTATGGATTTTTATCACTATGGCTTTTAGGGAACTTTCAAAAGACAAGAAGAGGGAAGGGGAAGAGGAGCACAAACAGCAATTTTTAGCTGTTAAATAATGTTGATGTTGGGTTCCTTACCCCATGGCAAAACAGCAGCAACTATTAGGAATAACAAGTAAATATAATGTGCTTGTCCCCTTCTCTCAGCATACAAAACATCTTAAGCGAGGCAGAGCCTTTCCCATTGAAGTCTTGGCAATCTGGTGCCAAAGTTTTGACTGGCCTTTATATGTACAATTCCTATAAAAAAGGATTCAATTGGCATTTCCCGTATCTTCCAGACGTGAATTTTCTTCAATATTCAGCATAGAGAAGAACAAGAAAGCAGTATGGAATACATCCAGTACAATCCACCTCCTCCATGGTTTAAAAGTTAAGCAAAAGACAAAAACCTGAGACTAATTCAGGATTTAACACTTCACAGCTAAACACAATGCTGCTTTTTTAGCACAGGTTAAGGGTTAGACTCAAGGGAACTTTAGCATTGCATTTCTGCACCTATTTGACAGCCAAAGCAGAGGGACACCGTACACAGACAGGTTAAGGAAGGCAGTTTTGGTTTTATACTGTGTAATAATACTAAGATTATTCCTAGAACAGACATCTGCAAGAGGCACTAAGTGGCTGACGGCACTCTTGCTCTCAAAGGGAAGTATTTTGCCTTAAAAACACTTTCATAGAAGCTTTTGCTCTAATTTCTCTCTACAATCATGTAACTCAAGTACTAGAAATGACTATACAAGTTTGCTTAATTAACTTCAATTTTTGTTAATACTATTTTTCTTTCTAAAAAAAGGCTAGATTAAAATTTGCACTAAGTTTGTTGTCTAAAAACTTTCAGGAGAAGAAATACAGGCCTCCTTCATGTATTTATCTGGGAACCTGCCTTCAGAAGGTACTTACCAGGGAATGCATCTAACACAGTCACCTGAACTTGTCATTGAACATCTTTAAGGCCAATGGAAAATGAGTCAATAGAATCCACATACTCCAATAATTCTGGATTTAGGATTAAATACATCCTAAAGCAGACATCTAAATGAGGTTACAAAAACCTGGAAATGACTACCTATGTGTCCTGACTGCAAATATGATCTAGGATAGTCAAACATGACTAGTTTAGCTCTATACATAGATTTTTTGCGAAACTAAATCAACCCCAAGGTCAACTGATAATAAATTACTCAAATAACTTCCCCACTATAATACGTAGCTTTGGTTCTGACAGTTACAGTTTTGGGATCATAGGTCCACATCGCATGTTTTCCAGTAAAGCTGATACCAGCTGCAAGGAGAGGCAACACAAAGCGGGTATCTGCAAAGTCATCCTAGATGATTTGTCAGTGCTGACTGAACCCACTGAGGGGACAATGCTGGAAGACCCCAGGGAAGATGCATTTTCCCCCCATGAGTGCACCTTAAAAGTGGGTGGCCCAGGTGGCTAGTCAGTGCATAGCTTTGTACGTGGTCCAGCCAGGAGAAAAAAAAACAAACTGTTTCCAGGACACGGCTGGAAGCGGCATGACCATTCCGATTCCACATACAATTCCATCTGACCACATACGACCATATGCTCCAGTCAAACCTGCACCTTAAGCAAGCACCTCCCACACAACAAATTGTTAGTGTGAACAGACCTATCGTGTTAAATGCACTGCAAATAGTTACACAAGGTCTCTTTCTTCAGTAAATATGAAAAAAAGAATTGAAGAAGTTAGAGAGAACACAGTAAAACTAGTTGTATCATGAAAAATGGTCATAGAATAAAACATTCATTTTCATTGTAGAGACTAAAAGTAATGTGAAAATAAATATAATTTTCACTCTTTGGTTATACACTTTATTATCTCTTTGTGATATCAGAACTCTTGCTTCATGCAATGTTTGATGACATCCCACTGAGAACTCAAATCTCTATAAGAACTCTTTTCAATAACTTCTACCATATTTTTTTTGAACAGCAATTACCTTTCCTTCAAAAAGCCACTTCTCAACAAAGATTTTTTTTTTTAGCCTTTTCTTTTATTATTGTTGCCCAATGGCTGTTTTCTCTCTCTCTCTCTCTGACTCTCTCTAATACTTCACACTAGGCTTTAATCTAAACAAGGTATTATTCATTGGACTGACTGCATGATGTGCCTTGGCACATAGGCACAAAAAGGGCCGTAGATTTAGAATAGGCCAGTGAAGGTGCCAGCTTGCAAATGCAGCATCTGAAAAGGAACAGCTACAACAGGCATCAGTTCCAGCTGAGTTCCAAGCTCCACAGACGGAGAGAGCATCCAACTCGTGGACCTTCAGTATGATCAGGTATCTAACTTAAATCCCAGCTCCAATTACAAAATACTTTTCTTCAAATGTATCAGAAACTCTTGAATGACAGTTTAAAAAAAAAACAAAAAACAAAAAACAAAAAAACAAAACCAAAAAAACCAAAACACCTCTCCTTCTGAAACTAAAAGCCACAGAAAGTATTTTCTGCTCCAAGGCTCTATTTTTGCCTAAGAACTTCTCAAAACAATTTGACATTTTGACATTTTTCCATGTTACTGTGAACAACTTACATAAACTGAGAAGACTACATCCTTCCAGTATCCTTTAAAATTTGACAGGTAGTGTGGAAAAGTTAAAGATTGTATTTTGGAGTCTTACCTCACAATAGGCAACTTGGTGAACGGAACAGGAGGTAACTTCAAACCATCTGGAAGAGTGATGAATTCCATTGTACCAGGGCATTTTGCTGTGTAGCTTTCCAGGCTCTGCGTTACATCTTTTTTTTCTAGAAAATAAATTTGTTTAAAATAAAATTAAAAAACAATTTCAAACTTACATGTAACAAAAGTTTAAGATGAAGTCATAACCTAAAGTTTTACTTGTTTTTTTTGTATTTATACAAAATGACTCTAATGGAATGCCAACTAATTTTTGCATACAATGCTTAGAGTTATGCTCTAGAAGCCTTAATGGCTGGATCAAATATAATTAAGTGACCTTAGGCAAGATGGTTTTCTGGACTTTTCAGAATTTTAAGCATCAGGCTATACCTGCTTTTTGTTTATTTTTTCACTGGCAAGATAAAAATTTGTACAATTTATCTAGTACATCTACATATCCAACACAATTGGCCTCAAGCATGTTAAGGTTATTAATAATAGCATCATTATGTGAACAAGCCCTGTTCTGAAACATTAGCTGAAACAATACCAAAGGCAAAGAAGAGAAACAAATTACTTTTGATGTTATCTTGTGTTAAAACTACCTAATTCTTAAAATAATTGTACTATATTATGCTACTAAATCATAACAACCAGTACGAAAATTTTTCTTTGGTTTTGCTTAACGATACAAGAACATTCAAACAAACATACGTTACTTGGGTTATCTTCAATAATGTATAATAAATGCTTATGAATTTTATCCAACAATTATTTTCAGCAATGTATACAATTGTGTCTCAAGAAAAAAATGTCTATTTGGAAATATATGGCCTGAACACAAAATTATATTTATCTGATAAAATGGGAGTCTGCAAACAGAAATAAGCCTGAGAGTGTGTGTTTAGAGGGGAGACTGAGATAGCTGAAAAGTCTTAGACCTGTATCGTTTGAAAGCACAGTGAACATTCCTCCATATATGTGCTACCAATAAAAATAACTATTCAATAACTAAACTGTTTCCAGAAAATACTTCTGAGATCAAAATACTCAACGATAAAACAAAATAGAAGAGGGAAGGGTGACAGCAAATACTGCTTTCCAAAAAAACTGCTTAGACGAGTGTGCTGGATTCATGCAGCAAGGTTTCGGTAGCGAGGGGTGCTGTAGGGGCGGCCTTTGCGAGAAGAGACCAGGAGCAGCTCCATGTGGGAGAGAGCCAGTTCCAGCCAACTCCAAAACGGACCCACCGCTGCCCAAAGCTGGGCCCATCAGCTATGCTGGTGGCACCTCTCTGATAACATATTTAAGAGAGGGTAAAAAATGCTGTGTAGCAGCTGTGAGAAGGAGGAGTAAGAAAAATGTGAGAGAAACATATCCTGTAAACCATGCTACCGCCCGAAATACTATCTTGGGTCTTGAAAGGCCCAACATCCACTGATGTTTGTGCTGTCCACATCAGTCCAGCTTGGTTTGTAAGCTTCTAAGGCCATGAGTACATACTCTTTCAAAGCAAATAAACATTGATTGTAATCACCTTCACTAAGAAAGTAATGCCACATAACTGACAAATTGCCTTGCTTGTGTCTATGTTTCACTGAACTGCCTCTTGAGCCGCTCACCACATTTTAATTGCGTGTAGGAAATGTTCCCAAAAATACATTATTAGACATACACAGACACTCAGAGCAGCGTAGCACAGCCAGGAGTTGTAGTGGTTCAAGACTGAGTATTTTGATAACAATTTCAGGCTACAGCATTCAGGTTGTTATTTGCCAAGTTATGTGAGCAAGGGCACATAGCACAAGCAGAATCCACTGAGACAGAAAGCATCACAGCTACCAAGAATGATGAAGACAACACTATAGTATGCGCTTAATTCTGCTTGAAACCAGAGGTCTGTCATTCTGAAGAATTGGCTTTCATTTCCCAGTGTGAAACACTGTCAATTATTGTATTCAAAGAAAGCATGCTGCCACTTGCAAAACAAATTTGTTTATAGATTTGAGAGTCACATTTGCATTTCACAGTAGAAGCTCAGCACGCTTGCTGCAAAGACAAGGCTAAAACAAAACATTTTTCTACACTGATATTGCATGAAATGCAGTTTAAAGCATGCTGCTGCCAAGCCAGCAGCTCTATTACTTTTTACTTAGCACTGCACCTCAGCTGAGATGCTAAAGGAATCTACATCAATAGGACATTTCAAGAAGCATTCATGATGCAAAAGAGCAAGAGCTGCATGATCTTGCCTGAGAGCCACTTCTGAAAGTAAATGTTGGAGCCTTTCTCCCTTGACTGAGCACTTCTGCTACCTGACCTCTGCGGTTTGAATGAACGATACAAATTTCTCTGCTTAGTCAAATTTGCAAAGCCTAATAGTTGCCCAAAGCCTGCTACAGACTGCTCCTTTCAAACGGCTCTGAATTTTCCTAGCATCAGCCTGGCATTGTATTTTGACACAATCAGAAACTGCACCAGCCTCCTGGGAGGATCTATTCAGCTACTGAGTCTCCTGACCCATAGTTCAGAGACTGTCTGTGACCAAAACAGTTATCACCAGTACTTATCCTTCTCTTTGCAAAGAAGAGATAGAAAACAGATACTCTTGGAGGTCCTAACCCACCTAGTGTCTTCATGCTTGTATAATGTCAATTCACCTCAACAGCTTTCAAAGCCTGCACTGCAGCTGGAAACACTATTGGATACTCTTGTGTAGGTACTACAGAGACTCATTTATTGAGTGAGAAATGATGGGTTATTTTCTCATCCGGAATAACTACGTTCATGATTTTTTTTTCTCCAGTTTCTCTCCAGACTTACTGAAAGATTGAGATCATAGAACGGCTGCAATCAAATAAAGCTGAACAAAGCCATAGTCAGTATTGCCACTCAAGCACATACTTCTCAATTCGTTCAGTATAGCCTCATAGTACAATTTCCCCATTTCATACCAAACTGTTTTCATTACCTTTTTTTGACTGAAAATTTTGCAAGCCCAGCAGTAATCTTGGTAATTTTTTGCTGAACTACTTCATGTCATCACAATGACCATTGGTTTTGGCCCAAAGCTGCTTCGAACCTTCTTCTAATATGAGAACACAAAAAACTGAATGCCACTAAATGTGAAAAAGAAAAGTCATCCTGCCAGTTTCACAAGAATGTGAAGCAGTATTTCACAAAAATGGAGCCACTGAAAAATCAGACCAGGACAGGAAAGGTGGTCAGTTATAGACTAACATTTTTAAGCACTTCAGTAACTGTGATTTAACAGTATCACACAAACAGTATTTCATGCCTTGGCAGATAACAGAGAAAATCAGAACACAATTGCTATAACTGTAAGTTCCAGCTTTTTAATAGTTGAAGAAATTTTAAATATCTGCAGTCCATCTCAGTCACTACCCATTAAAAATGAAGTAAAATATTAAAAACACAACACTTGTTCTCTGGCAAACAGTTGGTTGGTCTCGTTTTGATCAAGTCATTGTGTCCCTTGCAGAACAACCTACAGCAAGGCAGAACGGAGGAAGGGAACAGTTCACGTCTGACCTGCCAGTTACACTGGAAGACAAACAACTTGCTGTTTCCTTATGCAACTTGCTAGAATATTGAAAAAGGAAGCTAGGAAAGAAATAGCTAAAAGCCTTCTCGCTTCAATTTTCCCCTGGTAATAAGCCCAGAATCAAAGTTTTAACAAAAAAACAAACAAACAAAAAAAAAAACCAACCAAACAGTACCCAGGGTTCTTTGTGCTGGCTGAGCTTTTCCTTCCCCCTTGAAAACAGCAAATAACATTCACAAAGGAGAAGCCCGAGGAGACCTTCTGCAGCAGTCAGCCCCTGAGAAGTGGCAGCCAGCTGGCCTACCCAGCTCTCTCAGGAACGAAGAGTCAAACATCTCCGTGATAAATTACTAGTAACACGTAGCAAGATAGAAAAGTCAGCCTGACAGCCGAAAAAGCGAGAGAAACAGTAGTTTCTGCACCCAGAAACATAGATATTTCCTTCACAAAAAAAAAGAAAATGGCTTGCTGAGCCCTCTTACCACTAGAGAGGAAAAAAAAAGTCAGCATCTGCTGCCAGGGAGATCTTCAGCATCCCCCTGCCGTCAAGACGCAGCGTATTCTTTAAACTAAAAAAGAATTTCAAAAAGGCCACAAAATTTCTTAAGACCTTCACAAAAGCTGAAGTAGAAATTGAGTATTCATTGACAGTAACTGCTACAAACTTTTTACCTTGAAGTTAATCACTAGGTTATAGCATGTATGCAAAGGTCTTCATGACCTTGCAGGTAGTCCCTCAACGCTAGTTTCGGATGGTGCAGGTGGACAGTAAGCATCCCATTTGTATAGTCAGTACATCACTCTTCACTACCACAAGCAAGCTAATGTTGTAAGTGAAGTGCCTTAGCAAGACTTGCATGATCAATTGACTAATTCAGTATTTCGGTTGTTTAATTCAGCAGAACAGAGCAGGTTTCCTCTAATTCGCAGGCACGCATCACCTGTTTTTCCATTACATTAAGTCTGACAGGATTAGATGACAGCATTTTCTACAGTTTTAATAAACAAACAGCATCTCTAATATTTTTCTGAAAAATACATGGAGCAAGTAAGCACGACTTCAAACTGCTCAGAGATCTGATACTTGAACAAGTTGCTCTGAAAGCAACACAAGGAATGCTGGGGTTTCATTCCAGTATTCTCCACTGCAATAAATCTCAGCACTTACCTGTGTTTTTCTACTGCCCTGAACAGCTACATGTCAGACGCCTACCTAGATTCCTTAGGTCATCAGTTAGATGGGAAGCACGTGCAAGCTGACTGGCCAACTGGATGACAAAATGACCAAAGCGATTGAGAATTAACGCTCTCTTTCTTTGCCTCTTCAGGGCACGGTTAGCGTCTACCTTTTCTATATACGAATAAGTGTCATAAAACTGGAACAAAATTAACATCTCTGATCTGTTCTCCACACCACGTTTTGTCAATAGACTCAAAAGCTATTCTTATGGGGAAAGCCAGAAAGGCACCAGCAGACAGAATATTATATCAATCCTGTCTGTTTGAGATATCAAGAAAAATAAATCTCTAAATAAATACAGACTAAAACTAATAACATTC